CTGCAGCACCACACAAGGACTCACCTCCCCCCCAAAAAAAATTCAAGCTAGCATGCCTAAAATCAATTTCTAAAGCTGAAAATCTTAAACTAATGATAAGTTTATATTCAAGAAACTTCTTTGCTTAAAAAGTAGATATATTAATGGTGGCTGTTATGTGCCGTGGAGTCGGTTCCGACTCATAGTGACCCTGTATAGGGTTTCCGAGGCTGTAAATCTTTAAAGGAGCAGAAAGCCTCATCTTTCTCCTGTGGAACAGCTGGTAGTTTTGAACTGCTGACCTTGAGGTTAGCAGCCCGACTTGTAGCCACTATGCTACCAGAGCTTCTTAGATAAATTAACAGTTGATATACAGCAATGAGCATGCAAAAGAATGCAATTTAGTTTTAAGTTATTAAGCAACTAAAAGTTCAATCATAGTAACTAGAAGCTACTACGTAAATTATATGAAAAATTAAAAAATAAAATGTATATTTAATCCACAGCACTTAACAACATTATAAACGTATCAATTAAATATCCTCCTAGTTGGTAACAACTCACAGTGACCCTGTGTATAAGGTTTCTGAGGAGCGACTTTTGGATTTGAACCATACACCTAGTGGTTAGTAGTCCAGTGCTTATCCTACAATGCCATACCAGGATTCCTTATTAAAATGTTGTTGCTGTTTAGTGTCATCAGTGTTCCAACTCAGCGACCTTGTATAGGGTTTCCGAGGAGCAGCTGGTGAATTTGAACCACTGATCTTGTGGTTCAAACTGACCTTTCAGTTCAGTGTATTATCCTGTAGCGCCACACCAAGACTCCTTATTACAATGTTGCTGTTAAGTGTCATCAAGTTGGTTCTGACTCACAGCGACCCTGTATAGGGTTTCCCAGAAGCAGAGGGTGAGCTTTAACCTTGCAGTTCAAACTGACTTTGCAGTCCAGCGCATTAACATGCAGCACCACACCAGGACTCTCCCAATTATAATTTTGTTGTTGCTAAGTGCCGTCAAGTCAGTTCCAACCCATAGCGACCCTGTATGAGGTTTCCAAGGAACAACTGGTGAGCTTGAACCACTGAAGTTGCAGTTAAAACTGACTTTATAGTCCAGTGCATTAAACCACAGCGCCACACCAGGACTCCCTTTATTATAATTTGTTGTTGTTGTTGTTAAGTGCCATCGAGTCGGGTCCGACCCATAGCGACCCTGTACAGGGTTTCCGAGGGTGTAAATCCTTACGGGAGTAGAAAGCCTCATCTTTCTCCCGCGGAGCGGCTGGTAGTTTCGAACCGCTGACCTTAAGGTTCGCAGCCCAATTCGTAACCACTACGCTAAAAGGAACCATTTTATTACTTCTCTATCTGCAAGTCAAGGTACTTTAATCAGTGTCTGGTTTTCAACAACTTACTCAGTTGTTGTTGTTAAGTGCCGCCAAGTTGGTTCTGATTCATAGCGACCCTATATAGGGGTTCTAAGGAGCGGATGGTGGTTTGAACCACCAACCTTGCAATTAGCAGCTTAATGCTTATACTAGAGCACCACGCCAAGTAATCGTCAATAATTCATATATATTTACTTTCATATCTTAAGTGATGCCTTTTTAATCAAAAACAAGTACTAAAGTAAACTCTTTCAAAACTGCAATGCAAATTAAAACAGATTTATAATCCGCCCCCACACACACACCAAAAGCTAAAAGGTGGTTATACCATACAAATCTACAAGGGTGAGTCAGATATTATCTACACTCTAGTAATATTAAAATGCCCATCCACGGCTGATGGGAAACACTGAGCATGCATATGAAATGATTCCATCGAATCGACAAAGTGACAGTGGATTAAGTGGAAAATCATTTGAAAATCAGCCATGGCTCTATGAAATAATCCACTACAGACTTGGATTTTGAAATTTTGTGCAAGATGAGTACCAAAATAACTCATGAAAGAACATAAACAGAAGTGTTTGGATGACATCTGCAAACAAAATTTAGACTGATACTCAATGGAAGGTAGAAGTTACTTTAAAAAAATCCTTACTGGTGACGAAACATGGATTCATCACTAGGAGTCTGAGCATAAATGACAAAGTATGGAATGGAAACATCCTCAATCACTGACCAAGAAAAAGTTCAAAAGTCAACCATCAGCTAGAAAATTGACACTTACAGTTTTCTGGGATTCTTAAGGGCCAGTAGGGGAACACTAGAGGGAAAAAGGTTTAACAATCAACAGTGCTCATTATAGTGAGATGCTCACTGAAGAACTGAAGCCTAAACTTGGGATTAAATGCAAAGGACTGCTACCCAAGGGCATTGTGACAATGCATATCGCCACACCTCTGCCCATACTGTTGACACTGCAAAAACTCCCTTTTGAGGTGTTAAAGCAACCTCCCTATAATCCTGGATCTTGCTCCATGGGACTTTCACTTATTTGGTGCCTGAATGGAGCCCTTCAAGTACGAAGATTCACTTCTGATGAAGTGAAGACAATGGTGCATTCATGGCTCCCAGAGAATATAAAAGCTTGTTGACAGGTGGACAAAGTGCATTGAAAATCAAGAAGACTGTGTGGAAAAATGATTGTCTTTTCTAAAAACTGATTAAAATAAAATAAATTCTACAGTCAGGTAATGGATAATTTTTGTCTCACCCTATTTGTTAGCGAATTTTTATTACAACTGAAAAAAAAAAAAAAAAAAGGTTTGTGTACGCCAGCATTAAGAAAGGCTCTTTTATAATTACAGTCTGTGGTGAATGTGGCAATTGATGTGCTGGGCTGCAAAACGAATGGCTGGAGGTCTGAGCCCACTCAGAGAAACCTGAAAAGAAAAGCCTGGTGATCTACTAAAGAAAACCAGACACTGAAAACACTATAAAGTACAGTTCTACTCTAATACACATGGGATCACCATTAAGTTCGAATAGACTCAAAGGCAATCAAAAACAATTAACAACAAAAAAACCCAGAGGTAGAAGCGCCCCAGTTGTAGTGATCATGTAGTGTGATGGTTAAGGTAATGCGTCAACTTGGCTATGGCAGAATTCTCAGTGATTTGACAGGTATTGTGTCATCATCCTCCATTTTGTGATCTGATGTGAGCCATCATTTGAAACAGAAGTTTCCTTAGGGGTGTGACTTGTATCCATACATATATATATTCTGGAGAAGTGCACCTTCTCTCCATCCTGTATTGAATATGCCTGTACATATACACGTCTGTGTATATATATATACATACATACACACACACATACATATCAGCAGTTCAGAACTACCAGCCATTCAGCGAGAGAAAGATGAGGATTTCTGCCCCCATAAAGATTTACAGCCTCAGACACCCTTCTAGAGGGTCGCTGTGAGTTGGACCCGACTCAGTGGCACACACCACCAAGAAATGCACCTTCTCTCCATC